CTGATGTATCGAATGGGGGAAATCTCGTGAATTTAGGGTTATAGATATTATTATCCGTCAAGGTGCGTAGGTGAAAACCCGCTATCCTCCATGGCTAATCGTATCTATAACTCCATCTGCTCTTCCATTGGCCTGCTTGTGTCGGGTGTAAAGGTCTACGACCATTTTGTCCTACGGGATAGTGTGATCGTACTCTTTGCATTCGAACCACACGAGCGGAATCCTTTCGGAGACCCACACCCCCAATACTCTCATTTCACATTAGCCACTTCGATCTCTAGCCATTACTCTCTACTCCCTCATGTTTTAGCAGTACCATCATTCATTCTCAACTTCATAATGTTAGAGCCAACTATCTTATGCATTCAATGTTTCCCATATAAAAATAGTCATTACAAATGACTCATAAGTGACAAATAGTCTTTTATGAGGACACATATAGTATTGAACAAGTTGAATTTAAAATCTATTGATTGTTGTATTTCTCTCCAACAGTTAACAAAACAACAACATATAAATTTACATCTAACCCATCTACAACAACATTAACATCTCCTGACTATTCCAACTTGTGGTGGTTGTCACTCGAATGTTACTCTTTGTTCACAACATGGCAATTCCTCTTGATGCAACCTTTCTTTTTGCAACAGAAGAAAGGCAGAAAGCTATATTTTTGTAGTAGCCACGAGACTTATGTCATGATTAAAACTAATCATTTATGAAAAAGTCTTTCCATCAACTTACATTTCATCTCATACACTTCAAGTTTCAAACTTAATAATCACATCTCTAGAAAGAAATGAATTCCTAAAATTCTCTAAGCTAATTGAATCTTTACCATACACCATGATGCCATGAAAATAATTATAAAAGAGGGATAAAGAGCACAAAAATAACAAATATTAATCCTCATCATCGATCATCACATCAATATTTCTCAAATCCCTGAAAATGGAACTATACTCAATAAAATGTGAATCAACAAACATAATTTATTGCATGCAAAGAAAGTAGAATCTTTAATTTTGATAATATTTTTGAAGAGATTTTTAATAATGGGCAAAGTTTCCATCGTAAGCCACAACCGCCATGTAATTGTTTACTCCCATGATCTCCATCAAAATCTTATTTTGGCTTCATAATAGAACGGCAACGCAATGTATCAAGGATTCAACATCAATAACTTAAGGTTTCGTTGCATTTACATCTTTTCATTTAATTCTTTCTATTTTCTTTTGTTTTTGCTATTTTGCCGCGTACCATACGTCAACTTGATATCATAGCTAATATCATGCTTGTTTTAACCTTCTCTTCATCAATTTCTAAAACTTTACCTTTGATTACAAAAGCTTCCAATGTTCTTCTCCTTCTCCTCCCATGCTCTCTCTCTCTCTCTCTCTCTCACGCCTAAAGGTCAAATGAATTAGTGAAAAAATTCTTGCCCTTTCCATACTCCACCGGCCTATCTCCTTATTTTTTATAAAAAAAATTCAAACTCTATCTTCCATATCTCCTTATTTTTTCTCTTTCATTAAAAAAAGTAGAAAATGAATAATTTAACACTGCCCCTACCCCAACCTACCGACGCAGTTTATCTCTCTTCCATCCAAATTTTCAAATTAACAAAATGTATAAATTTAAATAGTAAAAGCAAATATGAAACAGAAAGAAATAATTGAAAACCTACAGGAACAACTGATGCCAACTCTTCATGACATTAGGTTGTCAGGATCCAGAGCAAGAAAACAAGAAATCACAAACAAAAGCTACAAGAATTTGTTCATTCAACTCATTGTAATATGATTTACATAATGAATAAGGGTTTATTTATAGAAATGGACTAATATTTCAAAATACAAACTACCCTATTGATAATTCAATAGAAAACCAAACCAAATAATTTTGCTAAAATAGGAAGATCTCTCATTCGGAGACTAACAGCAGTAGAAGCAATGCATTCCATCATAAGGAACTTGTAATTTCTCTAAGATGGGAAAACATATCCATCTTGTAAGCATATTTATAGTAGTTCTAGATGGTACCATTAAAAAAATTGGTGGCAATCTCCAAAATACAATCAAAATAATCTTGACAAAGTGCCTTAAAAAACGAGAGTAGCAGATCTAAAGATAAATACATCAATCTAGAAGGAACAAGGTGTCCATATATTTCTTTCTTTTTCTTGCCTTCTTCTTTGCTTCTATGAGTGCTAAATTAAATATATCCCTCAATTAAGAGAGATTGATTTGAATATGGGAGAGGAGGAACATACGATTTTATTTCTTGATATAAAAAAGAGAATGTTAATTAGATTTTGATTTGAAGTAGATTTGCTCAATTTAGTGGAGGAATTTAATGAAAAGGGTAGAAGAATTAAAATAAATCTAAATTCTACATGTAAATTTGAACTTTTCAATGGTCCCTCACGGAGGGGTTTTAGGAGCTAAGGTAGTTGATGGTTTGAATTTGAATTAAATTTAAAATTTGAACTTCAACTCAAATGTCAAATTATTGTTGAATTTATAGGTGATTAAAAGAATCTAGGAAATGATGTGGGAGAGAGAAATGAGGGGCAGACTAGGGACCAAAAATAGATTTTCATATTTCTTTTAATGGAAGAGAGAAAAAAAAAAGAGTATGAAAGATGGAGAGTATAAAAAATGTATCTTTTTTTTGTTGCGTTTACCTATGGCTTTGTGGAGAGAGAAAATGTGAGAAGAGAGAAATTGTCAAAATAGAAGAAAACAATAAAAGAAATTTAATAGTCAAAAGTAAAGTTGCAAATTTTGATTAAATCAAGGTTAAAAAATAAAAAATTTGCACTAGTACCAAATCAATATAAAGTACATTATGGATTGGTGAAAAGTAATATGACATAGGGAAAAAAAAAACAAATGAACAGTCACCACAATAATAAATTTTCAAGCTGTTGAAGACCATTGGATGACTAGTTGACTCATTAATAGATCGATAATACATATTAAGATTAAGCTGTCCATTCTAACTCTAATCAAATCGTGTAGTCCTACAACTAAAGATGACATTAAACTGAAATAATACTCATATGAAGAAAATTGATACCAATAACTGGATTTCTTAATGACTCACAACCAATTTCTAGAAGAAATTTCCAGCAATAACCAACATAAAAGTAGGTAATAGTTGCATAAGAAACTGTATCTCATTTCCAAAGTACAAAAACACAATCTAATATAATCCTTCCGTCTTCAATACGCATCAGTGGATCACTAATGAATAATCAAACTTTCAAAATGAAAAAAAAAAAAAGAAAAGAAAACAGGTTTTTATGTAATTGGCAAAGCTACTGCACTTCCAAAATTGAAGAACTATCATGCACATCAATCATAAACATCTCACAAAACTTGTCTAAAATTCAATATGAATAAGAAAGCTTCATATAATGAGTTAGTCCATTAAAAATACAAGCATGATTTCAATAAAAGAACTTACAATGAGTTATTCTGCGAACTTAATTTCCAGTCCTTAGATCATTTTTTGAAACATAAATCAAATATTTTACTTATTAATATATTGGAAAGAAAGAATACTTTAGAAAGTTTGCATAAGCTGGTGCCTTTATGTATGTGACACGCCGTGAAAGATATCAACAAAAACCATTGGAATCATTAAGAGAATTTTCATTTTGCAAACAAATAGGATGTACCAAGCAAAGCATCCAAATTTTTAATTCAGATGTATTGCAAAATCATGAAGGGATGATAAGAAAAGAAACAAGATGAGCCAATATCATACGAGTTTTAAAAAGAGATATCAGGAGCACCTTAAGAGTGCTGATATAGTCAATTAAGTCCCTTTCGAAAAAAGAGCTCTCAGACAAGTTCTTGACATTTTTGTAAGGGAAATCTTGCATCCATAACCCCTGTGTTTTGTTGTTCCAATCGACATGGATTAAATTTGCAGAATGTATGATGATGCGCACCCCTGTTTCATATACAAGGAGCATTGCCTTGGAGTGATGTGTTCCATAAGATATGGGAAGCGATGGCTTGTACAGAACCCAATTTAAAGGCTTTTTCTTCTGTTAAATTATGAATTTAACAAAAAAACTTAGATATAATCTACCGACCTAAAAAGAAAGACAAAAAATTGAATGAAAAACCTGCAAATGATCAACCCGGTTGCCACTTTCACCATGGACAATAAGTACATGAGGAATCTGCCACAGTTTTGGGCAAGCTACAAGAAGAAAATTGTTTCTTCAAAAATCTGTGTGCAGTTCAAGTCAATCAAGAAAAAATTTAACATAAAAATTCTAGAGCAACTAAAAAATTTCAACAAACAAGAAGAAGCTCAATGATTAAAATAAAACATGCAAGGAAACTCCATTGAAAATAAATAAAATAATTGCATGCAATGCAAAGTTGAAAGGAAAAAAAAAATCAAAAAGCATATATGGCATTCTTACAGAAGATATAGATCTAAAGTAGTTCAAAGATGCTTTCCTAACTCAATACAGATGAATACTAGTAACTAATAACCTTGAATAAAAAACTAGCTCCAATTGAGAGAGGGTGTGAAGAGAATAAAATGACAAATAAACCCAGGACTAGCTATTGATGTTGTCCTCAAGTAGGAAAAAGCAGGCAAATAAACCAAAGGTTGGTCTATGGGCATCTTCCTCAAGTGACCAAAAGCAGGCAAGCATGCAAGGACATAACACGTAAGGTTCAAATAAGTATTTCCATTAACTAATGAATTGGAGGCAAATCCCTGTGGGATTTCAGCAGGATATTAAGGCACAGAACCCACCACAAGAAATATATGAAGCCAACTAACCGGAGGAAAAGAAAAAAAATGAGGTTTAAAGACGGCAAAAAAAAATAGTAAAATACTTTGCTCATCTTAAACTTTTTTCTCGTGGCATGAATTCTAGTGGAAGTACAAAATACTGAATTATTTAGAAGACAAGCTGATAAAGCATCAAAAGCATTTTCAAATGTTATAGTTTGACCTATCAAATTACAATACTATATGATTCAAAGAAGCTTATGAACTGGAGAAAGGACTACATACTTTTCCAGGAAATAGTAAGAGAGGATCAAAAAAGAATCAACAGGAGTAGTTAATGTTGAATGATGATTTGTGAAGTCAACCAAAATATATCTAGAGACTTCTTGCTATGGTTAATAACTAAACTCAAGATCCAAGGAGAAAACCAAGTTTTTTACGCCTATAATCTTTGGAACATAAAACCTATGGTACAAGCAAAGAGTTGAAATATACATGTTTTCTGTCACTTTTGCTTGAATGGTGGTTAATTGCAGCAAGATGGAAAGGACAGATGTTAAAACAGCCAAGTCAATGTCAAATATCATCAATTAAGTTAGGGTAAATAAAAGTAATAACATTGGAAAAAGCAACAATAGAAAAGAAGAGTATAGCATAAATCCATGCTGTAAGCATTAAAGCTGAAGGCAGTAGGAATTCAGGAATTATGTATAAGTTTACTTGATTGCTGAAGGGCTCTACTAGTTCAGAGATATTGTTTTCATGCTTGCAAACAGCGCCTTATCAAAGCTAAGGAGATTGAGATAAGAAATTTTTCCGCCCAAGACTTTATTAAGACGACACAATGGAGAAAATAGTCTTCAGGCCAATACAGAGGAGGTTGTTCAACAATGGTTTGTACTTTTCGTGTCTCAGTGGCTAAACGAATGAAGAGGCATCCCTTTAACCATCTAACCAAACATTAGGCTACCATAGCCCAATTTCTTCCACGGCATTCAGAGCAGAAATATACCCAGAGCAAGGAGAGCTCCTACTAATGCAAGATATAGTAATGAGTTGACACATGAAGCCTTATCACTATATTTGCAAATAAGTTTTTTTATGACACGAAGCTGGAAGTTCCAAATACATTGGAGGATTTTACTGACTACTGCCTTCAGAGCTACCGTGAAAAACTCCTCAAGTTCTCATGAAGCAATTAAAGATGAAAATAACTAATTTGTCCCCTTAAGGTTTCATAAATAGTTATTTCTTTTACCTTCCACCCTTTAACTTTGAAGGACCTCTCTCCCTTTATTTAGAGAACCAAGTAAAAGAGAAACAAAGTTATTTGTGATATCACAGAGAAGCTCTTATGATCTATACTAATCTCTTTCACAATTTTTCAACAGATGTTACTATAAACATCTGAATATCAAAGGAATTTTAAATTTTAACAGCAAAAGTTTGCGCTATCAGATTCTGGTGATAAATCTAAATTTGTCATGCATGCACTTGTAATGCAAGTAGATATTCTCAAAAAATCAAATGTACAAAAGCAAAATTGCATTTAATGGCAAGAATTAAGGCATTAAAAGAACCAATATGATTAGCATACCCGTTTTCAACCAATCAATGTCGACCATGTAGTTCGAAAGAATAGCAACAAGAATGTTTCCCTATGCGGAGTGAACCAACAAGATATTAGTAAAACTTCAGCATGGAAATTTACAATATAGTATGACAAAAATGCTACAAGACTTCAAACAGATATATCTGAGAATATCATCAATAGATCTGAGCAAATCATTGATTAGCAACAAAGTAAATAAACCTGAACAATGTACTCAGTCATACATGAAAAAGATTTTTAGCGATTGGACAAATAATCATGAATCCTTTCTAACACTACAATCAGGTTTCATTATACTCCAATTCATGATTAAGATACATTGCCGCACCAACAAAAGTGCTCAAAAGATCATTAATTGATTTTGGAACCCATTGCTGCCAGAAATTTTTGGGGCATAAAATGACCAATGGGGAGACACAGTTGGCAGAGTTTTCCTCGCAGCACAGCTTCAATTTCCCTGCAGCAGCTCAGGCAGAATATAACAGACAGCATGAATTTGCAGCCTACAAAGTGGCAGTGTAGTGATAGCAGCCACTGAGATTGCCCTAAAGAAGCCCTGAGGCTTCAATTACAAGTTCTTCGTTTAATAAAGTCATAACTAAATGAAGACCATAAAGCTTTTGATACTAATATTGCAAGTAAAGTGAATAATGAAGTAGTGAAACAGAACTTTATAAGCATGGCCTTTAACAGGCTGCCTGCAGTTAAAATAGCACTTTATTTCCTGCAATTTACATATCTAACACTCAAAACATTAATATTACATGCCTACCACCCATAGAACAAATTTGAGTGCATGGAATGAAATATTAAAGTTTATAGGATGGTATGATGGTAGAAATGAATTATAAAAGTGGTATATTTGATATTAAAGTTTTATATGGATGGTAGACATGTAATATTAATGTTTTTGGTGTGAAACATGTAAATAGCATGAAATAAAGTGGTATGTATGTAAATTTTCCTAAAATAAATAGCCTAGCTTGTCTTTAAAATAACCTACGAATTATAGACACGCCATCAGTAGTTATTACCGCTATAGAGCTTAGTTTCATGTTCGTTCAATTACATATATAAATTTCTTATTAGACAGGACGATTCTTTGTTAACTGAGTTTACAAAATCTGCTTCTGCAGCATTTCCCTGAAGCTGAGTTTGCAGATTACCTCTATAACATCATTAATAGCAACCGTACATTCATTTGCCCATTTAGGCAGACCTTGCACTCGCATTAGCCGGAAGACAAGTGATAAACAATCCTTAGAAACATCAAATTGGTGAATTGCCTCCATGCTATTGGATGAAACCCTAACTGCATCTGATGTTGGACAAGAAGACCAAGATTTAGAGACAACTGGAGGGCTCACTTCAAGCAATCTGTTGTCCTCTAAATTCTGTAGGGATATCCCATAAAATTATAGCTCAAAAAATGCCAATTAAATGGAAACTGGAGGAGGGTAAACAACAATTACGAAATACCTGTAACGTTCTTGCTAATGCCTCATCTTGAAGAAGTTGATGATTTCTATCATAAACTAAGGCATCCTTATCTGCTTGTTTCTGCGCTTTATCAGAGAAGACTAAATCTCTTCCTGAAGAGGATGCATGTTCACCACTTGCTTTTACATATTTGAAGAAATGATTACCCGGAATCAATTCAAGAATGTCCCCATCATTAATGAAGAGTTTTTCTTGAGAGCTCAGCTTCCTTCTTTGATTCCCCGATTTAAAAATGACTGGGTTAGGACCTTCCTATAGACGCATCCCATCATTAAAAAGCATAGTTTGAGACTTGCATGAATATCCATTCACAAAAATATTCAATTTAGGCATTGTTGGTCATAAGGAATTCGAATAAAATAATTCAAATTGTCAAAACATGGCTATAAAAAGTAAATGTAATTCAGAAAGTAAAAAAGTATGCAGCAATGAAATTGAAAATACAACAGTCTAATCTTGCAAAGTTTAAATTCGAAATAGTAATTCTCTTGTAATTTAATGTTTCGTTATTGGGTTGACATCAAGTAGTTTTCTAGTTCTTAGTGGCATTTGGTATTTTAAAGTTTATTTATAAAGTGTTTTGAACATCTCAAGGTGTCAAGTGGTATCAGAGCTCTAGATTAGAATGCCACCATAAACAATTTCTAACTTGCAAAGAGAAATTCAATGATCAAACATGTTGCAGTGTACAAGGGGCAAGAACTAAAGGTGCATTTTTTCGACTTGGATGATAATCAAGAAGAAAGAGAGATAAAGAACTCTTTCATCAAATGGTCAATAATCATCGGAAGACGACTAACATAACCAACATTTTGATTCTTTATAAAAGATCAAAATAGTCTCCAACTATATATATTAAATAACCATTTTGGTTTCTCAACTCCTTGAAGAGAAACAAAATTTTTTTATTCATTTTTAAAGACTTGGGGAACCAAAATAATCCTTTAATATAGTTGAGAATCACTTTGGTCCTTCAAAAAGAGTCAAGAGATAATTTTAGTCATTTTCTCATATTAAACATTTATACATACAAAAACTGATAAACTTTTTTTTCCAAATTCTTTCAATTTTCCATGTACATTTAATTTCTAGCTAGGATTCATTATTTATTTGTTTAACGCAACTAGAATTATTAATATTCTATCCTTCTCATTTAAAGTTATCAATTATATGCAATCTAATTTTCATAAGGCTATCTCACATTTTCAAGGTTTAAGATTGTTATGTTATTGAATCATTTTTGTAAATTACAATTGGTAGTAAAATTTTAGCTTTATGTTAGTCGGTCAATTAGGTTAAATTATGACAATACTTATGTTTTATGATTTAGCCAAATCTTGCCTACTCTCTTAGCAATCAAGGAAAAATCTTGTGCTACACCTACAAGATATATTCTCAAAAAATTATACCCACTTATCACTACAATACAATTAAGTTCTGCCCCATAGCTTCCAGAATCTCCATAGAACAAGCGAGAAAAAAAATTTATGACACCTAAAGAAGACAGAAGTGTCAATCAAGATTAATAATAATTTTAACAAAATGAAGATAAGATACTTGTAAAGGCAACATCAATTATATGGTTAAGTAAAATACAAAAGAAACATACAACAACAAGTTCAACAACGCCATCACTTGAGCCATGCAAACTAATATGCTTGCGGCTAACTCTCTTGTCAGACATTGTAATGTTATCACGTCCTACAAAATTAACTCCTTCAAAAACTGAAATTTTTGCTGCTGAAGCATCTACTATGAAGTTTCTTTGAAGAGGAAGCAGCAAACCAATTGTTACCTGAAGCATTGCAAGCAATTTCGCAGTTAAAATATCAATCCTTGGTCATATCAGTAAAATTAAATTAAAAGAGTAAAAGTATAAGAAAGTAATGTTACAAACATATTCATAATCTTAGCTCCAAGATAATTTAGAACAGTTTGACTGATCAAGTTGCACCAATTGATGTGCTAAATAATGCAAAGAACTATAACAAAATATGGTCTTTTATTGGGAACATGTCTTCCATCAAGCCAAAAGAGCACAACCAACTTTTCGATCACCAAAACCCGCTACTTTCGTATCAATTTTTTTATGTCGGCGCGGATCAAGTGGTACTTAAACTCAACCTAAGTTGCATAATATCCCTTCAAAATGCAATTTAATACATGTCATGCAATAAGCTATCGCAAAGTTCGGCTGTCATAGAAACTTCCCCATTCAACTAAGTTTATGTTCTCACTAGCAAGAAAAAAAATCAAAATTCATCATTTATACATTATTAATTAAAAGCATTTTAGAGATTAGAGTTGTAATCTCCACAACAACAAAATCATAATGAAATATTCATTGGCACTAAGAAGGCGTAGCCATCAACTGGGCAACTGCATAAAATTCTCATATATTTTTCTTCTGTTCTATTTTCTATAATGCCATGTTAGAATTCTATTTCGCCTATTCCCAACAATAAGAACACCCGGATTTTCAAGCTCGCATATTTGTGCTAGATTTCGTTATGCCCTATGCGGCAAATTTAACATGATCAAACGAAAAAAATTTCTATAGAATTATTAACGGAATCAGGAGTGGCTGAGAGCTTCCCTCGTCCCTCAAAATTTGGTATAACCCCTCTTACAACAATATAAAGTATGAAAATCTCAAGTATAAAAGATATTAGATCCATAAGTCGAAAAATAGTTCTTAAACTTCCAAAAAATAAAAACTAGGGAAAACCATACTCGAGAACTGGCCATGACAGTGCTTCCGAGCTTAAAGTCAGAGGAAACCCTAGTTTCCATGCTGGTTAAGCAAAACCCTACGCTCCCTTCACCGGTGATGCTCGCATTTGCCTTCGTTGATGAGTCTGAATAACCGGTTACCTCCGACCCGCGCAGAGCGAAAATGTTTCTCGTCAGCCGATTTGGATGCACGAGATGCCGATACCGTTACGAGCCATCAGCATAAAGGCAGCCGGGTCGGCCCGGCCCGGCGAGGCCCGTCATAGATCGGATCGACGGATTCTAGCAAATATAATTAACATTAGATATCCATAAAATAAATTTAGGCGCATGAAATAAAATATTAAAATTTATAAGATAATATGAATGGTAGAAATAAATTATATGAGTGATATATTTGATATTAAAATTATATATAAATGATAGAGGCCCGGCGAGGCCCGTCAATAGATAGATCGGATCGACGGATTCTACCAAATATAATTAACATTAGATATCAATAAAATAAATTTAGGCTCATTGAATAAAATATTAAAATTTATAAGATAATATGAATGGTAGAAATAAATTATATGAGTGATATATTTGATATTAAAATTGTATATAAATAATAGACATATAATATTAATATTTTAATGTTAGATATGTAAATATCATTAAATAAAATAATATGTATGTAAATTTCCCTTAACATTAACGTGTAAATAGAAAATCATTAATCATTTAAAACATTAAAAAATATAAAACTAATATTTTTACATCTATTATATCGGCCACAGTCATAAGTTATTATTTTTTAACTTAGCGAAAAAAAAAAAAAAAACCTTAGTGACTTGAGAGACTCATGCTTCTTCCCCCTCAATAAAAAATAAGGGGTCTTTTTATTATTTTTTGGGAGTGTAATGATCACTAAACATAGAGGAGATAAATAACATATTGAGTGTTTTGAATGTATGGCCGTTTATCCAGCATTTGAGTGCCTAAATGATATTAGAATTCAACGATCTTAGACTCGTTGGATTAATCTAGTCGAGTCGCTCGATTCTACTATAAGCATGACACGTTTAATTTGAAAACTGTTTGGTCATCCAATTTATTATTTGAACCTTTCAATGCATTTCAGGTCTTCCATTCGAACCCATTTGAACTCGAATTAATTGGGTCAAATATTGTGTCGTTGGGTTCGCCTTTTTGAGACGTTCAATTCGACTATAAGTTTGCACAAATCAAAGTTCAGATGTTTTCAAATTTAATTTTGAAAATTTTCTATTTAATTTGGCCTCGAGATTCATGGCCGATTCTTTATGAACATAAAAAATATATTAATCTACAAATATTTATCATATACTTCACACAGTATTTTAATATAAAAGAAATTAACATGCAAAAGAGATCAAGCTAAGCCATTTATTTCATTTTTATTTAAAACATAGAGCATGCATATAAGCCGTCACCGACCATCCATGACGACAACAAGCGCGCACTTAGCTTCCTTCATTCCTACAAACTTAGTACTTAACAATGGCGGCGTCGCCACCGCCATAGCTAAGGCGGCACGGCGGCCCAATGTTGCACATGAGAGGAAGAAACACTCCTCTCATCCTCATCTCTTCAAGCTGACCTTGGTACTGATCGCCCTTCATATCCTTCTTCATTATCTCTCCGGTCATCTTGTTTAATAACTCGCATCGGCATGTGTCGGAAACCTGGTGGAGCTGTTCACAGCATTTGATCAGATTTTCGGCATTGCCACTTTCATATCCGAGGAACGGGCGACCGGCGGCACTATCACCACCGTATTTGAGGAACAGGCGACAGATGGTGAGAGGGTTCTTCTGCATCTCTTGCACACACCGTTTGGATTCGGCGATCATCTCCTCGTCTTCGGTGGCAGCGACTGCAGCGCCGGCGGCGAGAATGAGGAGGAAGAGAAGCTGGAAAGATAGCTTGAGAGCCATTTGTGATGTAAATATACTTACTCGATCGATCTTGGGGAGCTTATATAAATGTCTGGATAGAGAGAGAGATAGGAGAGAGAAAGAGTGTACGTAGTGCATGCATGCATGGCTGGAGTATGGGAAGACGCATGGGGGGTGGTGGAAGCATGTGGGGTGCATGCAAGAGTTTGGGTGGCACGTGTTGTGAAAATGAGGAAAAGTTTTGTATGTATTATGCATGGGTATAAAGTATTGATAATTGAGAAAAATAAAATAAAATAAAAAAGTTTAAAAATTACATAATATAAATTAATTAACTAATTTATCAATTTAATATGTGTAATTTTTCACGGTAGTAGAATATTTGTTATTTACTAGAATATTCATGGCGGTAGAGAGTAATATAGTTTAGCGTACGTCTTAGCTTTGTACGAAGACCTAGCACACAAACGTATAAGAAAGTATGGTTATAGTGTTTATAAGAGATCATATTTTTTACGTAGAAATCCCTGAAAAAGATAAAATTAAGTATTGGGTATCACCCAATTTAAATGAATCCACGTAGTATTTGTAATTTATTACAAATGAGGCCCTTCCTTAGGAGGAAGGTCTTAGCTCGATGTAGCAAATATGCATTATAAGATAGGAGTTGAAAGACTCGGTGTTGATATGTTTGTTTGGGCTTCTAAATTTTTCCCTTTTCTTCCCTTTTTTTTCCCTCCTCTTTCCCTTCTTTTGTGAATAATGTGAGTCTATTTATACTTTTTTTACATTGGGGAGGACTAAGGTCAAGATGGGAGTGGTTTGAATGGACGGCCAATATTAGTCCCTTTGATCATGGAGCATTTAATTGATCATTTTAATATCTTAATGATATCAAAATTCGGTGATCTTAGGCTTAATGGATTTGTCTCGTCGGGCCGCTCGATTCGACTATGAGCAAGTCACGTTTAGAACTTTGTTGGTAATCCAAATTATAGTTTGAATCTTCCAAAAGAAGTCTTCTATTTGGACTCATTTTGGGCTCGAATTTAGTCGAATTTGGTGTCGTTAATTTGGTTCGTCTTTTCGAGACGTTTGGTTCGACCAAAAGTTTACTAAATTCGGAGTTTGGATGGTACCAAAATTATTTTTTTGGAGCCTCCCATTCATATTTGCATCAAGATTCATGCCTGATAAAGACTATTTTCGGTGACATATCAATATTATATCATACACTTTTATGTACATAAATAAGTTTTTGAATGAGGAATCACATTATTAAGCTCTATAAGTTGGTCGCTACAAATCATACTTAAATTCTAACTGCATTAACCACTAACAATAAGGATTGATAGCTCTTAAAAGATGTATATATATAATAATAATTTAATTTAAAAACTCCACAAAGAATAATAAAATCATATAAAAATCAATAATCTTGAGCATGTGTTGAAAAAAAAAAACCCCACAACAATATAACAAACTATGTTCATATCAAAGAATAAAAAATTTTATAAAAGCTCATCAAGCTCCAATGGAGTCATTGAAAAATTGTCATCTTATATGTAGTTAAGGGCATATAAGAAAGCATATGGTTGCAAAGTTCTCAACCTGTTAAAAGAATATATTAATCATCCTTAATGAAGAATAATGCATGTATAATTTATTTTATGGCCATTTTAAGTTGTTTTTTTAATGCCTTGCAATGATAGGTACTATATATATTCCCATAAAAATGATTAAAGGTTTCTTATTTAGTTGGCGCCTTCTCCATTGGGTTGCTCTTCTCTATATGCCTTTGCATATATAGGTTTAGGGTACCATATCCATTCAAGGTTCATCATACCATGCAGTCATGCACTATATAATAGGGGTGTCAATTCGGGTTGACGGGTCGGATTCGGGTCGAACCCGAGTTGACCCTTATTTAAACGGGTCAACCCGAACCCGACCTATTTTTGCAGACAGGTCGGACATTTCAACCCGGACCCGACCCGGCCGGGTTGCCGGGTTGACCCGACCCGACCCGCGCGGCAGAGAACGAGCTCGCGATAGCGCGAGTGCGATGTGCGGACGAAGTCCGCTGGACCGTGCGTGCCACATGCTGAAGGAGTACTCCATGACCGCTCGAGTTCGTACTTCGGACGGAGACAGGGCCCGGCAGTCCGCGGGACCGCACCGCGCGTCCGAGACGGAGTCTGCGGGACCGAATGTGCGGCAGCGGGCTACGGCGCGAGGCGCAAGCACGGAAATGGTGAACCCGGATTTTTCGTGTCAGTTTCGGGTTGATTTCAAGTTTTCGAATCAACCCGAAACCGATCTGTTTGCTAAACGGGTCAACCCGAACCTGAATTTTCCCGGGTCGAATTTTGGGTCGGGTCAAAAATTGACACCCCTATTATATATAGGTTACTGATAGCTTTTCTCTGTATGTAATTTTTTATTTGAGTTACCCTGCTCGTTATGATTATGAAGTTATGATGCATTTAATGGATGCTACAATTTTTTTTTTTTTTCAATTTCAAAATCTTACTATATGGTGTATTAAGTTATGGCAAAAATCTAAAATTAATAACTTGATATATAGTAGGAAATAGGGAATAAAGAGTCATATCTCTATCATCGAATGCCTACTATCGAGCAAGTTGAGGAGGAAAGATAAAATAACCAAGATGTAAGGAATGATGAATATGTAAAAGAAGAAATCAAATAAGGAGAAAAACTAAGAGTAAGATCTATGATCTTTCATTACAAACTCTTGAGATTTGGCTCTAGGCCAATTTACTATTTTTCTTGCTTTTCCTAGATCATCACCACAAAGAAAATGTAGCATATAATCATGTTCCATCTTGATTTCTTGAGCACCAAAAACATTGGTGAATGACAAGCAGCCACTTAATAATTTTTCTCAGCTCATATTATTTTCAATAGAATGAACATCACCTAATTTCCTCTAAGGAATTCTATAATGCATGGAATGGTGACATTCCAATTGAGGAGTGATAAGATGTATTATATAAATTGTCCAGCCACCAGAGAATTCAACCTAAAGCTAGGTTAGAATTTTACATTGAAAAATAGTTGAAGAAGGTTGGGAACCTAGCTCCAAACTCGTGCTCGATTCCCCTCAAGCTGTGGTGCCTCTTAAGTGGGGCCCAATCAAGCGCGGACAATGAGATTTCTGGGGTGGGTGCCTCTTCTAGGTCAGCCGAGGATTAGTCAAACCCCCTAGTGCCGTTTCGAAGGTGGCAACAGGTGGATAAAAAAAAGATGGTTGAAGTATTGCTCTAATTACTTTTGCTTTATCAAATCCATTTATCCACCAATCTCTAGATTTCATGTCACAATACATAGAAGTTTAGCACCCATCTCCTTGAATAATACTTAGTAAAATTTTCTCATGAAGACATGATCCCTACCGAAGCTTATTGTCTTTGGCAATGCGATCTACATATATACCTTTAATGAGGGCAACTTTGACATATTGGTAGACATCCCGGCCAAGTGCTGCCAATTAAAGAAATGTTCTGTATTTTGGCAGAAGGTTTTTTATATGGGAATAGGCTTATAACCTTCATTTCTATATGTTTTATATTTCTTTCTCTACGTACGTATTTGCCATATGCCACCTATCTCTAATGTATAAGGGTGTCTCCAACCTAACATCATTCGCTCGTTTGCAGTTCCCGTGAGCATCCACCCGAATGACAAATAAAAACATATTTTTATGTTGTGAACAACGCGAAATCACTGAGGATTTTGGAATATTTTGAGTATTTTGGGTATTTTGCCCCCTCATAATCTTTTTTTTTTTTATAAATTTTATCAATCATAAGCGTCTTTGCCCATCCCCAAATAATTATTTTTTTCCATTCTGAAAAAAGAAGCTGGATCCGCCCCTGACTGAGCTCAGCCGCGTGTTCAAACTGATCGAGATGAATCTTGAGATGGTAAAAGCGGCGATGAAGGAGGAGACTCTCGCCGAAAGGATTGAGCAGGCATGCGCGAGATGTCGCCAGGCTATTCGAATTGTCGTTTCGTTTTGATGGTGGAAGGAGATGTGTGCACCTTAGGTGTTTGGTGATATGCTGCAGTGGAATGGATTGTGTTAACTCAAAATTAATCCAAACAAGCTTTAAGACTTGGATTTAGGTTAATGCTTCTAGCTCTATATTTCTTGTGCATGACTAAAATTTGATTAATCAAGACATCATCAACTCAATCCAAGTCAATCGAATCATACAAGACACTTAGGCTTTGTTTGGGACGTCTTTTTTACTGTTTCTTAAAGCAAAATTTTATTACAAAAATTAAAGCCCAAATGAAACCTTAATTGGTTTAATGAACCCAAATAAACACCTCAACATCATCGTAATTCAACTTACTTAGTATAGGTTTGACTTTAGCTCAATTTAGTTGAGGTTACTTCTCTTGGCTTAAATTAAGATCAATTGAGCTTGCACGAGTAGGGTTGCAAGATAACCGAGCGCCCGACAAATTATTCATGGTTTGGTTTGATTAAAGCTCGCTCGCAATCATTTGATTAAGTAATCAAACAAGATTGAATAATCATGTGTTCGACTTATTTATGTTCGAACATAAACAACATCATATAAAACTCGTAAACATACTCGACTTGTGAGCAAGCTTGTCAAATAATTCGATTAATGTTTGACATTTAGTTCAATTAAATCTCATTAAAAATTTGTTGAATAATTTAATATAATAATTATTGATTACTAACTTATAAAATTTAATCAAATATTATAATATATATTTAATCAATAATAATTATTATCTATTAATTGATATTATATTCTCACATATAATTTAATTATTAATAACAGTTACTTAATTACTAATTAATAACATTCTCTCTCTTTTTTTTTTTAATAATATTTTTATTTGAGCCACAGCTTGCAAATCGGACGGACAGCAGCCCTTCACACTATTTTACGCCCACACCAAATCTCGCAGTTGCCCTAATCCTATTTTGCTTTTACGCCGCCGTTCGCGCCCTTCTTCGTCTTCTTCGATTCCTCTCCTTCCTCGCTTAAATCCGCCGAAACGTCTGGCAGCGAGTTCGTTCACCTGTAAGAGGATACTATCTCGCTGGTTTTTTCAATTGTTTTTTTTTTTCGCATTTGTTTCGCATTTCTTTTCGCTGGTTCCTCTCGTTGGACTGCGTTGAACAGTTTCTAGTCCGTAATGTAACTCATGGTAGTTATCGTCTTTCGCTGAAAGCTTTCGATCGCAGCTGCAGAGGACCTAATCGGCAAAGCGTGAAACTAAGCCCCATTTTTTAGTATCCATTGCTGCTGAATTGTTTGATCACAAGGAGCTCAATGCCGAGTCTTTCTACTAAAACGATTATTATCCTTTTCTCAACTATTTATAAAAATCTTAAATCCAGAAACAGACGACCAAATAATTCATCATGATTTAGACTGATTCAACCATTGTCAAGACAAACAGATTTTTAGGATCAAATGCATGTTTTTTTTTTCTAGCAGTTTGTCATTTAGTTGCATTTTAATGCTTCAATATGCTTGGCTTGTGCAGAAATATTCATATATTTTTTATATTTTTTTGATTTGTAGAGTTAAATTCCATCTCAAGACTATATGCAGAAATATGAGATGTTATTGTTGATGGCAAATGACTACATTTAACACTTTTCTAAAATTCGAGTTTAGACGTTTTAAGAAAATTGATTTTCACCTCAGAGAATATAAGGCCTCCTTTGTTTGGGCGATTATTTGCCTTTTCTGTTTAGAAATGGCAGAATATTTTTTTTGGTGTTGTTTGCTTGTGACACTTTTGCATAAATGCTTTTTAGGAAACTGTATTTTTGTATTATTTTCAAAAGCTTTTGAGTATTTACTTCTCCGGTTGAAAATTCCATTATCTCAAACAATAGTTTTAAAACTACCTTTTAGGAAAGGTGCAAGATAACCAAACAAAGCCTAAGAAATATAGATAAACTTTTAGCGGGTTTAACAAAGTTTTAAGAGCTTGATGCTGCACCAAAAATCGCTTTGATTGGGCACATCGATTTATATTCAAATTAGAAACTTCTAAAATTAAGTTCATGACTATTTGGATTATGATTTCAATAAAAAGTAAGATGGTTTATTCCAGTGTACTTTTGGATGATAAGGATTACAAATTAGGTGCTCGTTTATGTTTGTTTATAGAGTTCATTAAGAAGCTTGTTCATTAAAAGTATCATTTATGAGCTCGATAAGCTACTCGATAAGGCTTGATATTAGTATTCATTAGTAGACTCGACAATACTCGTTTGATATTTTAACGAACAGCTCGATAAGGCTATTTCGTTAATAGCTCGATAAGGCTTGTTCATTAATAGCTCAATAAGACTTGTTCATTATAGCTCGATAAGGCTGATTATTAATAACTTGATAAAACTCGTTCATTAATTTCTAAATAAGCCGCTCGTTTAGAACTCAATAAGCCCAAATGAACTGAACACTAATAAAAAAAAATTGAACATGTATCCTTTTACATGAACCAAGTTCGAACACAAACAAAAAAGCTCGAATCGGGCTCGAACCGAGCTTGAACAAGCTCTTAACAATTGAGCTCAAACATGAACACATACATACACGGCTCAGCTCGGCTCGATTCGTTTGTAGACCTATGCACGGGACAAGTCTAATAAAATGGAACAACCCAAACTCTTAACTATCGAGATATTGTTCGCTTTGGCTTGAGGGATTGACGATTTTGTCCAGTTGGTGTAACTTCTGAGGAGGTCACCTATCCCAGGATTTAAAATCTATCGGGTTCCCCTAACCTAGTACAATATAAAATTAAGCCCTATACATTGTTCATTAATTTATGAGGAGGTTCTCATAATTATTTTTATATTTTCTATTTTGAAATGTAATAATTTTCAATTGTTAAAAAATTAGTTATAATAAAAAATAAATAAAGAATAGAAGTATAGAACTGTAGATACACGCTCCTAGTTTTTTTTTTTGCTATAAATAGTACCCTCTCTGGCATTCATCTTAATCGCCTTCGCACTGCCATTACATAGGATTCCATTCGGTGGTAAATTCGTTATTTATCTTCTAGCATAACCATTGTTCGATTTTATATCTTTCTCTATATCTTTTGATTTCACGAAAGCTGATCAGATCTCTGTTTCGATCCAAGGTTTGGTTTACTTCTTCAAATCATTTTTTTTTGTTCTGTTTATAATTTTTAGTTTTCTTGTTTTTTTGGGAGCTTGCTGACATGTTTTTTTAGAGAAATTAATGCTATCCTTAGGATAACTTTTTATTTTTTATTTCTCTAAATGTTAGCATTGTTTCCGGATTATGGTGTTTACTCCACTCTGTTCCATTTTTTGGATGGTTTATTTTCTGATTGTATTTGCAATTAGGTTTATCCTTTGTCCTATTAATTATAGAAATTAAGTACAATTAAGGGGTTGGCTCCTTTCTTTATTCATTATTAGTTGGCTGTTATATTGTTTAGGTCGGTGATACTTCATCACTTTGTTTGACGACAAAATGCAGAATGAAGAGGGGCAACTGGTGGATCTCTATATCCCTAGGAAGTGGTATGTTTTTGTTACTATTTTCCTTTTGTTAGTTCTTTAATGTGATTGAAATGAATGGAAATCTTATGAGCTATCCATGGAAAATGGTGTTTGCAGCTCTGCGACGAACAGGTTGATTGCTGCCAAGGATCATGCCGCTGTTCAAATTAATATTGGTCATTTGGATGAGCATGGTGTTTATACCAGGAATTTCACAACTTTTGCGCTCTCGGGTTTCATTCGTGCTCAGGTTATTTATATTACTCTTCTACTCAAACCTATTTTCTGAGTATTTATGGAAAAAGTTGTGTTAGGATATCCTGAAGCAACACTTAGCAGTATGGGAAAGCTGTTTGATTTAAGTTGAGATTACTGCAATTTAGAATATAATGTGAAATACCAATCCTCTGATGCACTTTGCATCATTACATCCTCACACCTTTTTTCCAATTAAGCAGTTTTGGCTGCAAGTAGGGTTTAAATCAGGTAGGATTTAATAAATTATGTAAGTCTTGATGTAATAAATCCTCAAAATTCTTTGAATGATAGGTATTAAATTCATTTAAATTCTGATATTGTTTGACTACTTATTTTTGGATTTGTATAATTTTGAGATTGACAATTAAACTGCAACAAAAAAAAAAATCAATTCCTTCTATAGTGAAAATCATTTATGGAGCTCTTAAGGACGCGTGATAAAAAAATTATGAACGTAAAATGCATTTTAGTATGATGGCTAATTGGCTACATAGAACAAAATTCTCTAAAGTTTATAAGTAGTTCAAAATTTCTATAATTGGTAAAAAATTGGCTTTTCATATACACATTTTAAGTTTTAACTAATCCTACCAGTTTATTTATTTTCCAAATTCCATACAAAATCTACCTAGTGTAATTCCCTTTCTCTCTATTATCCCTTCTCAGCTTGAAACCAAACCTAGAGATAAGTTAGAGGAAAAGAAGCAGGGTCCAACTCCACTTCTTTTCTCTAACAACTTAACGGTTGATGACGAATGAAAGAAAACCTTACCAAATAGGCTGTGGTTCTCTTATATTTTTCTTGCTTTCACAAATCTTAAACCCTTAAACAAATTGCTAAATTATATATAAAGAACTAAATTATTTTCATGTTTTAATCTTCTTAAACTTTACGAAGTTTGGAGTAGCTCTAGTGGAAGATAAGATTAGAGAGAGTTGCCTTAGATGGTTTGGTCACATAAAACGGTGGCCTTCCGATGCCCCGATTAGGAAAGTAGAGGTATTAGATTTGACTTATGTTAAGAAAGATGGAGGTAGACCTAAAAAGACTTGGTTAGAAAATATTAGACATGATATTTCTTTATTAGATTTAAATGAAAATTTGACTTTTAGCAAGACACAATGGAGAAAAAGGATTCATGTAACCGACCCCATGTAGTGGGACAAAGGCTTGTTGATGTTGTTGTTGTTTTAAACTTTACTAAGTTTGTATTTGCTAAATATTACTTCGTTAAATACTTGTAGCAAATAGCTATGTGGTCGTTGCATGAGTACTCTCGATGAGCTTTTTGTTGAATGGATAAATAAGCATATTTGCAGTCATAATGAAATCCTCAAATTTTTTAATTGCATGTCAAGATGTAAATTTTTATTTAAATTTGTGCAATTATCTAAATAAATTACATATATGATCCTTCTATGAACAACTATAGAGTTCATCAACTGTTCAAATTCGCTCATAGCCAAATGCCATGTCTTATATTTATCTTTTTATTTTTTATTTTATTTTATTTTATTTTCGTCTTATATTTAGCTTTGAACTTTAAATAGAGATTGGTTTTGTCTTCCCCTAATGAGTAATGCGTACCATTTTTTGATTGTAAGTTTTGTTTGATGGCCTATACCTTTCTATGGGAGATGTATTATAGTATGTGGATGTGAATCTTGGTTTGCGACATATGTCATACATTTTGGCAATTCAATCAATATCCTCATCATAATGTTACAACTACTTGTTATTTTCTTTTAAAACAATGGATCATCTTTCAGTTGATCTTTTGAGGTCTCCTCTCTTTTGGGGCACCCTCCCTTTCTTTTTATTTTTTAAAGGATCTTCGTCACCACTTCCTGTTATTCTCATTTATAACATTTGATCTTCTTTCAATTGATGTTTCAATCATGTAGTAAGTTACAGGAAGAGTAAGAACTTCCTCTGGCTCATCATCCAACTTGATGTTTGCCTTATGCAGATCATTGATTCCATCCTAAGATCCGAACAGATCCCCTTGTCATTCTACAAATTCTTGGACATCATAATACCTTAATAAACTTAGACCTGAGTGATATTAGACTTATTTAATCCATCTCATGGCAATACTCACTTTAACTATAAATATAAAATTTGGAGGTTGTTTAACCCCTTGAATGATTTCAAGAAGTTATCAATTATGTTTCTAAAGCTTGATTTATGCCTATTTAGACTCATATCAAGGAGAAATTATTCTGTGCGGAGGCTGGACGCAACTCTACGTCCGGAGGCGAATCAGGTACAACCACGTCAGCAGTACTGAGTCGCAATACACAGTGAAGGGCTGACATGTCACGTTTTGGTTGGTCTCCGAACGGCGTTCGGCGTCTGCACGGAATAATTAATCTAGAATCTAGATCCAGACCCTTATTGGTGTTATCTTGATCACAATTTTGTTATTAAGTTAGTCTTTTGTGGAATTGCACTCTAAAATCATAAATTTATTAAATCCTGGTTTTTTTTTTATAATTTCAGATTATAATGTACTCTTTTCTTTCATTTTTTTCAGGGAGATGCTGACAGCGCTCTTGATAGGCTCTGGCAGAAGAAGAAATCTGAAATACGTCAGCAGTAGTAGTAGACTTAATACTACTGCTGAGATGTGTTTTTGGCTTTTGTTATAACTACATTCTATTATGACATTTAGGTTTGGGAACTTTGCTTTAGCTAAATGATTTTCCTTATAACAATATTTTTGAGACTTCAATATATCAGTCATTCAGCCTTTAATTTCAGACTAGAAAGTTTTGGATGAATTTGCTGTGGCAATTGAGGATTTCATTTCAATGTTAATGTGATTGCATATTATATTTTGAGGCGTTTTGTCTTCCAATTGCTTAGTAGTATCAATATGATGTTTTACATTTAGCCTAAATTTGAAATTTTGTTGTTTGGAACAGTTTCTTTTTTTCATAAATTTTTTTAGATTGTTGTTAGGAGAGTAGGTGTATTAGATTTGACTTATGTTAAGAAAGAGGTAGATCTAAAAATATTTGGTCATAACATATTAGAAATGATCATTTTGTTGTTAGATTTAAATGAGAATTTGACTCATAACACGGAGAAATTATTATGTGCGGAGGCCAGACGCAGTTCTACGTTCGGAGATGAATTAGGTGCAACCATGTTAACGGTATTGAGCGGCGGTACCGAGCAGTATCGAGCCGTGGTACACATGGCGCATTCTGATTGATCTTCACATGATATTCGGTGTCCGCTCAAAATAATTAATCCTTAATAGGATACAAAAGAGACAAATGATTAATGTATTCGATCTCGTATTGTGGGATAAAGATTTGATGTTGTTGTAGTTTGTTTTGAAAGCGAGAAAGCTTAAGTTTGATTTAAGAAATAATTATAAAAATGTAATATATTTTAATTTAAATGGCCAGTTTGACAAACTCATGAGTTGATGAGTTTCTTGTGAGCTTGCTAGCTTTCCAAATCTGGATTTTTCTGCAGCGCATTGATTGAATGCACAACCGCGTTTTGTAAATAATTGATTATCTTACCGCAGTTATCAAAAAAATTATATTTTGCTAAATTTCGAAAGTTATCCATTTAATGAAATTGTAATTGCTGATGAAGTAGCTTTCAATTATTGTTTTCTACATATGTGATGCTGCATTTATGCTGCACTATTGATGTCACAATCTGTTTACCAAGTATGCAAGAAGGAATTCCCAAATTCTAAAATTTTGGAAAGAAGTTATTCGCCTTGTGTTTTTAATTATTTGATAAGCATATTTAGGCTTCATTTGGGAAGAAACTGTTATGTGCGGTAACGGGATTGTCCGAAGATAAATCAGGATGCATCATGTCACGCGGTACATAGTGGTGCACAGAAAATGGTGATATGGTGCGACCTGTTTCGACTCCGGACACCGCACGTAATAATTTTTCTCAATTATGATGGTTTTCATTTTGCTTTTACAATAATTTTTTTTACCAAAAATTAAAATTTTGTTTTAGTCAATTAAATTGCTTATTAGTGATAACTCATGAGCTAATGAGCCAGCTTGTTTATGATAGAGATGTTTGTGATTGGCTTGCTAAATAATTTATGAATAAAATTCAATGAGCAAACAAGCTTAAGCTTGATGTAATTAGCTTCATTAGTTTGTTAGCGAAGTTATTTAAAAGTATTAATATAAAATATATTAGAATTTAATAATTTTAAGTTAAAATTGCAGATATTTAAAATTTTCTGTTATTTCATATATTTTTTTATTAGCTATCAATAAATAATTAAAAATTTCAAACAATAATTAGTTTTTTTTATATAATAAATAAGCATAAATATCATTTTATCAATTATTTAAATATTATTTAATTAATTTCACTTAATTATTAATATTTTAAATTAT